CCCCCCCCCCCCGCCGCCCGACGCTCGTCCTCTCGAGGACGCGAGGTCAACGGTCTAACCGCCAAGGCATGCAAGACATAAAGAGAACACCCCCCACGCGCTCTTCTTTGCTGGGTCCCCGCAGGAAGCGCCTCCCAAGCAGAAGCCCAAGACCCTCGAGAGCACTCGAGATCCAGACCGGACGGTGGTCAAGCCAGCCGACGACGAGGTTTTCAGGGATGAGGCGGAGGATGAGTTCGCGAGGTTCTTCAGCAACGAACAGGTGTGTGTGCGTGTGTTTTTTTTTGTTGAACAACATGGACCGCGCTAAACAATGGAAAGACGTCGGTCTCAGTGCGGTTGAAAGCAACAATGAGGTGTGTGTGTGTGTGTGTGTGTGTGTGGTTCCGCTCTTGATGTAAACAGGGAACAAGACCTCCATGTAGGCAGTGAGTCGGCCGGGTTGTCCGGTACAGCGCGCAATGCGTTTCCCACAGTGTTATGAGGTGGAGGCGTTGGGAGATATGGTGGTGGCGGTGAAAGGATGAGCGGTTTCAGGAAGTGCGCAAAGGATTTGCTGTCGGTATGATAAAAAGGAAGATATCGGTACGAACAGGAAGAGCTGCGAGGATGGCAGCGTACAACACGGAGACGGCTTTTGGTACACGGGCAACAAAAATGCTCGCCCTTCTACCGAGCTTTCGTGAGATGTGGGGAGAGGGTGAGTGGCCCCCAGCGTACCCCTGAAGTTGCGGCTTCCCCTCGTTTTCCGGCTTCCCCTTGCTGTTGTCCGGTGAGAACCCGGCGTGCTCCGTCCCGGCTTTGTAGGGATGCGAGGTCAATGGTCTAACGACTACGGCATGCACGACTATGAGTACACCCCCACCCCCCCCCCTTGCTGTTGCCCGACCGACGACTGAGGTGTAATTTGCCTTAGATGATGCCCCCCCCACTAACGCGGAGGCCCAGGCCTCGCTCGAGGTGTGTGCGGGAAGGTTTAGCTGTGTGGTTTTGTCCGGTAGCATCATCCGTCTCCCTCGCCAGTCCGCTCGATTCATCCTACCCACTTTTGTCCGTCGTCCGCTTTTCTCCTCCGTCTCGCAGACACCGAAGATCATGATCACGACGAGGCCGAGACCATCGGGGAACCTGTTCCACTTTGTGCAGGACCTCATGCGCATGATACCGAACGCCTTCTTCTACCCTCGCAGTGAGTGTGGTACTCGTGTGGCTTTTGATCTGATTTTTTGCGTCAAGAGGTGTTTTATTGATTTTTTGGTTGTTTTCTTTGCTCGTGGTTGGTGGGTGGCACGTTGGGTTCACGCTACAAGTCATCCACTGCAACGTCGATCGCCGGGCAATACCTCTTATGCCGAGCAGGAGCGATGGCTGTACTGTACCCCTGACATCCAGTTTTCCGCATCCTCCAAAGGCTCGGTTTTTCAGCTCGTCATTTTCTTTCCAGTTCAGTTTTGCTTTTATTGGCGCTGCTTTTTGCTGCCGTATAGGTATTTATCTTCGCTGAACATATCATGTTGCCTTGTGTCGACCAGGTCGCCCTGCTTACACTTGGTTTACCCAGTCTTGTGACAACCTCCTGAAGCATCCTCTTGGCCCACCCAGTCACCGCACACCCTCTTTACGTGGGAGAGTTTCTTCGTCATGGCCACTATCGAAACCATGACTGCTGCTGTCACGACGCGCCGACGCTTAGTCCACACCCCAGCCTATCCTCTCAAGCGGCTGCTGACCAAGGGTGTGTCTGGGTCGTTGTCGCAATCCCAACGCCCCTCCCCCCTTACGGCTATTTGATGATAACGTCGCGCACCATCCCCCCGCAGAGTCGTTCACGGTGAAGCAGATCTGCCAGTGGGCCGACAACAAGAAGTTCACCCACCTGTTCGTCATTTCCGAGAGGCTTAAGACCTGCAACGGGTAAGGGGGGGGGAGCACCCCGACCACACCCTCACGCCCTGTCCTAGCCCAACCACTCGCTGTGTATCCCAACATCTCGTCATCACATCAGAGCGGTTGGAGAATTGTTGTGCTGGTGTAGGGCCGCTGGTAGGTAAGGGGAGAGGACGGGGGGGGGGGCACGGCCGACCAACTGTCTTGGCGAAGATTTTGCGGGGCCTCTTGCAGCACTGCTATGTCCACGTTTGAGCTACCCTGCTTGCGGTGGTCCGACGCTTCGGGTGTCTGGTGGTTTGTGTTTTTGTTCTGTTGGGCATGTCTCTTCTCGTTTGTCGAGGGTTGGATCTGGTTTACGATTGAATCCGCGCGGTAAAGTCGGCCAACCAGCACCCACGCCGGCTCGACTTACTTCAAATCGGGGTTGAAACGACAAAAAAACTCAGGGTGGCGGGAGGGTGGCAGGAGACGTGTGGTCGTCATTTTTGGCGGGGATGCTTACCCTTGCCGTTCTTCCTCTAGCCTGCTGTTGCTAACCGATGACGGCGCGGGCGGTTGGTCACAGCAGCATGACTGTGCACGTCGGGGGCCTCACATATTATAATAGCATCGCATGGTGCCGCACGACTGTTGTGATGCCTTTGTCGGAAGGACCAACCACTCCCAAGCCAGCCCCATGCAGGCACGGATGTGCCCGACTCGCTGTCCCGCTCTGGTGACGAAACGATGCATTGCTTCGCGCTTTCGGCTAAGTCTAATCCCTTCGAAGCTTTTCCGCCGTTCTTCTGGGTGGTCGTGGGGTCGATCTCAAGCTGGCCTATTTTGAAGGGACTAGTCGCTGTCTCCGTGCTCTCGGAGCACGGACTCGCC